AAGCCAAATATACTGTCAACGCCATACCTGTTAGCCCCATACATAAAACATCCAGACCACCAGCTCACCTACTATCCATACTGGCTGGCTATGGTCCCTGTTTTATATGGAACCTTAATTCCATTATAGCCGTGGAACTTAATTACTGGTACCTTCTCTGCCCCTTTGAGGTCCCCTTTGACTATACTTACTTTTCTGGCGGAGAAAAGCCCTCAGCCTTCTACACTCACAGGTCTGAGGTCTGTGCTCTGTAACAGTGGTAAGAGTGGTGTCTAATATCTAGGAGTGTCCCTCCCATAGAATTAAATAGACCTGACCAAAATGTATGCCATTATCAGCACGTTCTAGAGCTATGCAGGTCTACGACATCATCTACTTGAGTGTATTACATGTCTCTATGGTTTCTCCACTCTCTCTGTAGTCTTATACACATCACAGACAAATCAAATCAAAGTGTATTCGCCACGTGCACATTACCACAGCAGGTCTAAACACTACAGTGAATTGCTGACTTGCAGCTCCTCCTCAGCAGTGCAAAATAAATGTGAAGTAGCACAGCTAATCAATAGACAATAAGTAGATGAATAAAAATAAAAAGAGCACAACAGTCGGTAAAAAAGACAAGGTCATAAAATAGTTAATAAAAGAACAAGGTCAGACTGTTGACCGACAGAGCCTTCCCCAGAGCTCAATTACATTTTAGTCATTTAGCAGACACTCTTATCCAGAGCGACTTACATGAGCAATTAGGATTAAGTACCTTGCTCAAGGACACACCGGCAGTATTTTCACCTAGTCGGCTTGGGGATACGAACCAGCAACCTTTCGGTTACTGGCCCAAAGCTCTTAATAAGCTAGGCTACCTGCCTAGGACAAGGCTCCAGTCGGCTGTTTATGAGAGACCGAGCCAGTCAGCTGTTTATGTGAGACCGAGCCGGTCAGCTGTTTATGTGAGACTGAGCCGGTCAGCTGTTTATGTGAGACTGAGCCGGTCAGCTGTTTATGTGAGACTGACCCGGTCAGCTGTTTATGTGAGACTGAGCCGGTCAGCTGTTTATGTGAGACTGAGCCGGTCAGCTGTTTATGTGAGACTGAGCCGGTCAGCTGTTTATGTGAGACTGAGCCGGTCAGCTGTTTATGTGAGACTGAGCCGGTCAGCTGTTTATGTGAGACTGAGCCGGTCAGCTGTTTATGTGAGACTGAGCCGGTCAGCTGTTTATGTGAGACTGAGCCAGTCAGCTGTTTATGTGAGACTGAGCCGGTCAGCTGTTTATGTGAGACTGAGCGTAGCTCATAGAGTGATGAAAGTGCAAAAAAACTATGAAGAGATATATTAATATTTATTGTTGTATAAAACACTTTGCCTTTTGTCTGCATGCCCAGTTCTCAGCGTGATAGAGATAGAGATAGAGAGTGTGTGTGTGTGTGTGTGTGTGTGTGTGTGTGTGTGTCCGTGCGTGTCTGCGTATGTGTGTCTATTTTCTCTCCTCATGGAGCAACGTAGAGAATCCGCCTCTGGAAATGTTAGATATCTCCCAAACCGGGCATGGCTGTGGGAAATGATAGCCATCTATTTCTCCTTTCCGCCGGTTAAACAGAAATGGGCTCTCTAAACAGAGGCGTTTAGCGGTGCATACAAAGGAGAGGGCATGGGATTGGCACTACTTTCTGTCTGTCTGTCGACCACAGGGAAGCCTGTTGCCGTGGCACCCAGGGCGACAGCGCCTCACACTGACAGGGGGCTGACAATCCACATCACCACGGTTACAGGGCTGATAACCCACATTGCCTCGGTTACCATAGATGTCTTCTGAAATCTGATCTGATGATGACAGCCAAGATGTTTTTGTTTACATTTTACCTTTTGATTTCTTTTGGACATATTTGTATACTTTCTTCGCTTGGTTTCACTCGGTTCCTCTTGCCCTTAGATCGCTAGGTCTCCCTCCTCCCTCTGTCTTCTCTCTCTCCCCTCCTCCCTCAATCCCCTCTTTGTTTGAAATGCAGAGCATTTCCTGTGTGGGCTGGCTGGCGTTGGTCTTTGGCTGTTTGCGACCACTTTTCTGCTGTGGTTGACGACACACGACTGGCAGGGCCACATGGGTAGAATGTCTGGGTCTGGATACGGTCAGCTCTCTCTTCTCACAGCACAACACCGACTCACTGTATATAATCAGAGAGAGAGAGAAAGCGAGAGAGGCTGGATAGCAGCAACAATATGTAGTTGTTTAGACATAGTAGCAGTATTAGTATACTAGTAGTAAAAGTAGTAGTTGTAGGTCCACATAACAATAATAATAATAACAATAAAAAAATAAAATAAAATAAAATAATAATAATAATAATAATAATAATAATAATAATAATAGTAGTAGTAGTAGTAGTAGTAGTAGTAGTAGTAGTAGTAGTAGTAGTAGTTGTAGGTCCACATAATAATAATATTAATAATAATAATAATAATAATAATAATAATAATAATAATAATAATAATAATAATAATAATAACAATAATAATAATAATACTACTAGTAGTAGTAATAGTAGTAGTAGTAGTAGTAGTAGTAGTAGTAGTTGTAGGTCCACATAATAATAATAATAGTAATAATAATAATAATAGTAGTAGTAGTAGTAGTATTAGTAGTAGTAGTAGTTGTAGGTCCACATAATAATAATAATAATAATAATAATAATAATAATAATAATAATAATAATAATAATAATAATAGTAGTAGTAGTAGTAGTAGTAGTAGTAGTAGTAGTAGTAGTAGTAGTAGTAGTAGTAGTAGTAGTAGTAGTTGTAGGTCCACATAATAATAATAATAATAATAATAATAATAATAATAATAATAATAATAATAATAATAATAATAATAATATAATAATAATAGTAGTAGTAGTAGTAGTAGTAGTAGTAGTAGTAGTAGTAGTAGTAGTAGTTGGTAAAATGTCAAATCATTACAATCATTACAGAAGGTGTTCTGTAAGAAAAGCCTCACCAATGACATCATGCCTGACATTCAGTATGCATCCTTTGAATTGGTTAAATAAGGCCACTGGACAGTGGTCAAATTGAGGCATGGTGTCTTTGAATGCCCTATCCTACATCTAAGATGTTAGACCACCCAGCATCCCTACCGGGTGGCCCAGCTCGACCATGACCATGTTCCGATGCTCTCTTATTGCAGATGTCATAAGTCAAAACGTAACCACCTCCTCTGTCAAGGAGTCAATTTTATTTGGGACTTTTACCAGGAAATGTTTAATTAAAAGGTTAATAATGTTTTGTTACTTTCCAGTTTAAATAACATTTGAATCTACAAAACGTCGACACAAAATATTCAAACTTTGATCAAGTGATATAGGTTGGTCAGCCAAGGCCTTCCGGTTCAGCCACATGTACAACAACCCAATAATATAGCACTGTGAAAGGCCCTTTACTGACATAAACAACTATATAACTAACTCATTTGATTGGCATTGTAAAGTAGCAGTTACCATGCTCTTCCTACCACACCCCAGCAGCTCTTACCTGAGCCAGGTGTGGAGGGGGAGAGGGCCATGGTGGAGAGCATCATGGTGTGGTCCCTGGGTCCGTGTGTCGTCCCCAGAGGGGTGGGGTGTTATGCTTTAATATTGTCTGCAGCTGTCACAGTGAAGGATTTGACATCTCATCTATTCTCCCCCATCTAGACTGTATCAAGATTAACTGTACTACCAGTAAGTAAAGACTGCTCACATTTACTACTCTACTCTTTTACTGTTACTCTTTGATCTGTATTCACAATGTTGGCTATTCATGAATGTATATCCCTCTTTAAACAAACGACACCTATATAGAAATGTATGTTGTCTAAATTCATGTGTACCAGAAAGTAGACTATTTAGGTACAAGCTATATAGATGTCATATGTTTTACATTATGATTTCAGACCAGGTTGACAAAGATGTGCAATATTTAATATGTTTTCCCCCAACAGCTAATGGTGAAAAATCACTATTTTAAAAATGCACATTACCATTATGATTCCAATCAATTTCCTATACCTGAGATATACATATTATATATGATATAGACCAGTACAGACCAGTGCATTGCATACAGACCATTTTGTGGGAGATAATGGACTGTGCAGTATAGTATGTTCCGCGCCTCAGTCATGCAGTGGGAATCTGCATCCGCTCTCCTACAGAGTACTGACTGCTGGAGAAGGGGAGGGAGAAGGGAGAGGATGCATGGAGGGAGGGAGGGGTTGGAATTAATGAGCAGCCCCCAACATGGCAGTCAACAGTGATTTTTCACAATCTGTTGTCTCTAATTACCAGCCTTGATGACGCTCCTAAATTCAAACAGACTGATATAAAACGCATGCTTTGGAAACAGAGGTATTTTAGCCACGCATGATTTCCCCCCTGTTCCCTTATTTTCACCTTTCTCTCCGTTCGTCGGTCTCTTCTTTTCTTTCTTTTTTATTTCTTTCTTCCCTCAGTCTATCTTGGCACCTGGCAAATTGATGAGGCTTTTCAAAGTGGAGAGGAAATACGGAGTGCGATTTTATTATTCTCATTAACCTGCCTCACAGAGCAGAGAGAAAGGGATGGAGAGAGTAGGACTGCCAGGAGGGAGGGAGGGAGGGAGGGAGGGAGGGAGAAATGGAGAGGGTAGGGAAAGAGATAGTGATGGAGAGAATTGGACTGCTAGGAGGGAGGGAGGGGGGAGGGAGAGAGAGAGAGAGAGAGAGAGAGAGAGAGAGAGAGAGAGAGAGAGAGAGAGAGAGATAGTGATGGAGAGAATTGGACTGCTAGGAGGGAGGGAGGAAGGGAGGGAGAGAGAGAGAGAGAGGAGAGAGAGAGAGAGAGAGAGAGAGAGAGAGAGAGAGAGAGCGAGAGAGAGAGAAGGGGGATATATGAGTGTAGAGCTACACAGGCTACATTGCAATATTTTAGGAGGAAACTTGTCCTTGTCCTTGTATTTATAATTCAGGGACATTGATGAATTAATGATGGAAGAAGAGTCCTCAAGAGTCAGAGAAGATGAGCCTTCCTTTCCTGTTGAACGTACTGCATACTGCATACACACTATATCTCTAGGGTTTACCTTCACTTCCATCACACACACTATCCTCAACTGTTAGGTTATGGAGAAACACACTCCCAAAAACATTAAATAGTAAGCTCTCTCTCCTCCATCCAGATTGTCTTATTCCAGTCTGCATCCAGTTCTCTTATTCTTTGGGGGTATGGCTGAGTCACACGAATGGATACAATATTTGATAGGGTACATATGAATTTATGTATAAACGCTGGTGTTATAGGAAGGTCTGTGTATAGGGGCATCAAAAATAATTTACACATACATGGTCTGCAACAACAGTTAGGCTATTACAGTGAGGGAAAAAAGTATTTGATCCCCTGCTGATTTTGTACGTTTTCCCACTGACAAAGAAATGATCAGTCTATAATTTCAATGGTAGGTTTATTTGAACAGTGAGAGACAGAATAACAACAACAAAATCCAGAAAAACGCATGTCAAAAATGTTATAAATTGATTTGCATTTTAATGAGGGAAATAAGTATTTGACCCCCTCTCAATCAGAAAGAGTTCTGGCTCCCAGGTGTCTTTTATACAGGTAACAAGCTGAGATTAGGAGCACACTCTTAAAGGGAGTGGTCCTAATCTCAGTTTGTTACCTGTATAAAAGACACCTGTCCACAGAAGCAATCAATCAATCAGATTCCAAACTCTCCACCATGGCCAAGACCAAAGAGCTCTCCAAGGATGTCAGGGACAAGATTGTAGACCTACACAAGGCTGGAATGGGCTACAAGACCATCGCCAAGCAGCTTGGTGAGAAGGTCACAACAGTTGGTGCGATTATTCGCAAATGGAAGAAACAATAACTGTCAATCTCCCTCGGCCTGGGGCTCCATGCAAGATCTCACCTCGTGGAGTTGCAATAATCATGAGACCGGTGAGGAATCAGCCCAGAACTACACGGGAGGATCTTGTCAATG